ACTGATAACTAAAATGATAATAGTTGAAACTGAATCGGAAATGATAACTGATAACTGAACTAAACAAATGAAGTAATGATATGAATACTCCCTCTTTTGAATGATGATCAACATGTTTATCTGAATAAATAAATTGCGGTCTCAGGGCCAATATATATGTGCACAAACTGGCCTCCGGCCCAAGTATACGTATACATAACTGCGGCCTCATGCCCAAAATGCATAAAACATAAACCGTGGTCTCAGGCCCAAAGATGCATAAAACATTAACTACGTCATCAATCCTAAACATACGCAAAGCATAGCTGTGACCTCGGGCCCAAATACAAGTGTTCAAAATTCAGGTATTTAAAAGAGGAACTGAAAATCGTAGTGTAGTACATGATATTGAAATATTGAACCATGCCGAGTTACTTGGTACTTGAATGTTGAATATAATTAGATTGAGACATATATTCATGAACTGATTATGAGAACTTATGCATAAACTATTTATGACATGACGGTAATCTAGACTGAGACTTATGAGAATTAAACACAAGTCTATATTGATTATGCACTGAGCTCACAACGTTCAGAAGGAAAGTCATGAACGAATTATGAAGTTAGAGAATAGAAGTTGTGCAACTATTCTGGGAACTAGGTTTAACTATATTTTCGAGGCAATTTGTAATGTCGTAAAAAAAATATAGTGTAGGGAGAATCATTAACATTCCCAAACGTATAGCGTACTTAGCCTCACATACCTAGATTTCCTGCTCTTGAGCGTAGTACAATATTCGCCAACCCTTTCAACTTTAATCTATATCAATACAAGTTAAAGGGATTATATATTAGCAATAATACTCATGTTTTTGTCACTTAGACATTTCATCAAACAGTTTATGGGCATAAGGCCCCATAACCCTCATTAATGATATTTCTATACCCAACACCTCATTCTCTTGCTCCAAGATAAATTCTAAAATCTCAAATTGTTATAATCAATACCATTCTTCATCACCCATAAGATAAACAACATCCTTAACCAGTAATCAATAATTAACAACCCAAACCTATAACCGTTCATGCTTTTCTATTAAACTCATCAACTCATATCTCATGAACTAGTGTCTATTATCATTAATCCAATACTATAATCAAGTAGAGGGTGAAGATAATACATTTTTGACGTTCAATCCTCTTGAATTCGAGTTATATGGTTTCGTCACTGATGTCCTAATCGAATATCTAATGATTTGGAGGGTTTACCCATATTAATAAGGTATTTGAAATCAACTTAGATTCATCATTATAACTTACCTTGGATGAGGAGGGACCTTGGAGGAAGTTAGGTTATTGAGAGCTTCCTTTATAGAGCAAGTTCTTGTGTTTTGGAGTGTGGAGGACGAAGTATGGGTTTAAAAATGCCCCCCGGTGCATTCCCGTACGCCCGAAAGCTCAACCGCACACCTGGATGCGCAGCAGGGCAGTAGCACTGCTACAAGTGCGCGGCCGCGTACGAGACCATCTGCTCGCGCATACTGCTCATTGTCCAGTAAAGCATACATAACGTTTGCACAGAGATCTATTAATGCTTTGCAATATGTTGTTGGAAAGCTATTTCAAAAGGCTACAACTTTCGTCTTTTGTGTTTTCCCAAATTCCTTACCTATTTTCACAAAACCCCGAGGGAAGACAGACCTTCCACAAACTTAGTCGATTTTATTAGATCTTATGTACCTCACTTTCCGCTTTGATTCCAAAACAACTATTTCTACCCATACTAATCCCGTTAGGATTTCACATGTCTAAAATATCTTATTAATACTCATTTAACATGTCCACACACCTAGTTTGAATTTACGAAGTGTTACATGCATCCGGTGGCAGCTATCTCACATCCTGCATGTCTTTAGTTCCACGTACCACTCAGTCATTCATCCAACTGTGGCTAACCAATTTTACCCCACGCAAACTATGCTTCGGTCCTAAACGACCAATAAAATAGCTAAAACTAAACTCTTAGAAAGAAAACTTAAACATGAGAAAATAATTATATTATAAAAAAAGAAATCTATATTATATTTAAAGGAGAGTAGTGAAACATGTGATTAAGCAAGTGGCAAGCTAAAATGAAGCCATTTGACAATTTTAAGACAACATAAAAAATTTGAATTATAAATGAAAACATATTTAATGGAAGTAGTAGTCCTAGATTTTATGTAAGTTGAATTTCATTCTTTAATTAATCAAAGCCTATTTTAAGACTTAAACTAAAAATAAAAATGTTCTCTTTTTAATGACCAAAGACGTACACCAAAAAAAAAAAAGGATGCAATTTTCATTAAGCAAGCCAATATACTATAACTATAGGTATCTTTAATTAAATTTGTGTATAATATAGATTTTGTGTATAATTCAGTAATGGTATGAATCCTTTTTTGAGAAAGAATCATTGTATCTTACACATTAATTTTAAGTTAAAATAATAATTCTTTATTTAGTACAAGCTTTGTATTTGACCTTATTTGTGAACAATATACATTACTATAGGTATCATATACATTACTATAGGTATATTTAATTAATTGTGTATAATTCAGTTATGGTAAATATCTTTTTTTTGAGAAAGAATTAATTAAAATTTCGTTAATTTCGTTTTGTATCTTACGCATTTATTTTAAGTTAAAATAATAATTTTTTATTTAGTACAAACTTTGTATCTAACCTTATTTGTGAACAATATACATTACTATAGGTATCATATACATTACTATACGTATTTTTAATTAAATTTTGTGTATAATTCAGTTATGGTAGGTATCCTTTTTCAAGAAAGAACTAATTAAAATTTTGTTAATTTCGTTTTGTATCTTACACATTAATTTTAAGTTGAAATAATAATTTTTATTTAGTACAAGCTTTGTATTTGACCTTATTTGTGAACAATATACATTATTATAGATATCTTTAATTAAATTTTGTGTATAATTCAATTATTGTAGGTATTCTTTTTTAAGAATTAATTAAATAAATATTTTGTATCTTACATTTATATTATATTAAAGGAAATAATATTATTAACAAGAGGAGAAATGAAAAAGACAAGAAAAATTGAAGCTTGGTGGTTAACAAAAAAATAAACAAAGGTTGAATTCAAAAAGCCCAAAGCTAAAATATGAAGATGTGTATCATTTCTTGAGCGCACTCATTCTTACACATTGATTTACACAAATCTTTTTTAAAAATTAAGATTTAAGATGCCTTAAAAATTGATTTACTATGATAGTCTTTCCTTAAAAATCTTCATTTAAGCAATTTTCATTTAGGTTTGTCTTCTCTACATTGCTTAGGGTTTAGTTTACGCACAAACTATTGCAAAATATGGCTCCAAAATATAACTATATCAGCGAAATATCAATGTCCAAAAGGAGTTAGAATTTGAAGGTTCGTGTTGTTAGATTATGGCACGTTCCAGACCGCGAGAAACCAGAAAATCCTAATTCAATTGAATTAATTATTCAAGATGAAAGGTGCATACTCTTTTAGCTGTTGTTATTTTTTCGAGTTGTGATGTATTTTCTTCAAGTTATGCGCCTTACTAACTTAACTTTCTTTCCAAGTTTCTTGTTTTAGGGAGATCGAATTCATGCAACTATTGGAAGAGTTGTTATTAAATGATTTATCATTTAATTATTGAGTATTGTTATTGTCTTATGATCTTTTGGTCTTATGTATCATTTTCTTTAGTTAATATTTTTAATTTGGTATAACTATGTTATGTGGCAGTTCATCAAAGGTGACATTTTAATTTTTTTTTCCAGCGCCTCACTCCTAAAATCTCGAAGCCAATTAAATATTTCTCTGTTTTCTTTATATATGATTTACTCTCTGTCATTATTGGTTACTACATTTGTGTATTTTATTGTCCCGTTGTTGTGATTAATCTGCCACAAGTTTTATCATATTTGAGTGATACTGACGTGTTAGAGCTTGCAGATTAGTGAGAAATGAAGAATACTAATGGATTGTACTAGCAATCACTGCTGCTAGGTGGACAACAACAGTGGCCAAAGAACCAAAAACTAGAGAATTATATATTGAGGTAGTATGCAACTTTTTACTTTAATGCAAAGTTAGATAATTTATTACAGAGAGCATAGTATAAGTTAGATGCATAGTGACATGCAACAGTGACATATGACTATGTTATCTGTAGTCCAAGTGCATGAAGCTCATCTAGATTCTGATGTTGGCGTGATGAGATCTATTGGCTTCCTAGAAGCCAAGCCATCGATGTATTTGAATATATTTTATTCTACACTTAATCAAAATATATGAAAGTGTGCAATACTTTTAGTGCTAACTAAGTTTCCTTCTAAAGATCATTCTGGCATGCCTTCTTCGTTATCTCATCAGTAATACAATATATGTTGTCTCTCCTTTTCGTAAAAAAATGTCGCCCAAGGACCAAAAATTCTTGAATTTTTACCTATGCTTTTTTGTAGTGATAAACCTCAATATAGAGCACAACTTCTGAAAAATTATGTCCATGAGCATTTGCTACAATAATGTTCCCTTAGGCACATGCTTCACATCAAGCAAATTGTATAACATTATTATTTTTCGTGGAACATTCATATCAAGCAAATTGTATAGTATCATTATTTCTTATGGAACATTTATTAGGAGATGAAATGAAAGTTTTACCGGAGTCTTAATATATTTTTAATGTTTGGTTGTAAAGATGGTATTAACACTAATATATTAAATTTTATAGTATAAATCGTTCTTTTTAATTATTCGCGCATCGCACGGTACTAATACTATATAATTAAACTGGAGTGCATTTCTATAATTATAAGTTAATTATTATCAAAATTAAACGGGGTATCACAGTCCTACATAATCTCGGTGTGTCTGGATTTGACGTCATTTCCAGGTGTTTCAACCAATCAAATTGTGTTGTTTCTCTAATACATTCTATGTAATATGTAATAAAATGAAAATAAATAAATAATAAAACAAGGTGGAGATTAAGAAAATCTCTATTTTCACAGGCAAACTAAAATATTTACACCTACATCTAAATGACCTTCTTCCCCATTGAATAATTGTCCGATCTCTGTGAAATCTTCACCAAATTCTGATCTATAAACCCACCCACTCCCCGTCCTTTTCTCTAGCTTGTCACATGCTATCTTCTTCCCCTAGATCTTCAGGTTTAACATTTCTTTCCGATGTGAAAATGCTATGTTTATGCGAATGTATTCAATTATTGGATTTGTTTGATTTCGGACTTAGATTTTCTTTTAAAGATCTAATTTTTATTAATCTACTTGGTTTGTTTTTGCTTCAGATCGAAATCAGTCGAATCATTGAAAACCGGGTTCACTCGTAACGGTAAAGGTTTCGGCGAATTCATTCTCAGTTCATAACAGACGACGCCGTTTCCTTGCTGCCGGCGTCGACGTCCTTCAATTCCATTAACATCTCAGCTGGTGAGGCTTTTTCTTTTTTATAATTTTTTTTTGGGGAATTCGCGCTTTATAGTCCCTCAAATATCAACAAATTCTGATTTTGATTCTTGTGATATCTTGCTCTTGCTAAGCACTTTTGACCTTCAATTAATTAAAATGTGTACTTCTGATCCCGTCTGTAAATTTACATAATTCTAATGAATTATTAACTATTATATCATTTATTACCAATATGTTCTGTTAAATTTGTACTGTTACTTCATATTTGAGAGTAATAAAGTTATGAAAAAGTTTAAAAGTAACATATTTCCTATATATAAAAAGACATAAACACACATTTTAATTAGTTGATGGTTAAATGTGATTAGTCATATATCACAAGGATCAAAATTAGATTTACCAATAATTAAGGGACCAAAAGTGCTATTATCCCTATTTTAATTATTTATAGCCTTGTAATTTTTGTATGTTTCACCAGTTCTTTAATGCTCTATTTATATGTTTATTATCTGTCTCATTTCTGTGTATGAGATCAGGTGATTGTGGGACTTAGTTGAATTGCAATTTGTGTAGGTGGGAAATTTGGGAATAATCAATGGCGGCTCCAGGGGGACCTAGAACAGGGAATAGACCACCACCCAACTATAACCCTAATGCACTTGCTGATGGTATGCAAAATCTACAACTAAATAGACCTAACCAGTCACCTAGTGCTCCGAGGCCTAATAACCCATTTGGGCAGCAGCCACCTAGTGCTCCTAGGCCTAATAATACACCATTTGGGCAGCAGCAGCCACCTTTTGCTGGTGGACCAGCCATTAGTCGTCCAGGACCTCCACCACCTGGTGTGTTTCCGAGAGGTCCTAGTGGCGGTCCTCCACACACTGGATTGCCTCCTAATGTAGCTTCTAGACCAACTGGCCCTCCTCATGTGGCTCAATCTGCTCCTCCCTTTGCATCTCGGCCACCTCCTCCTGGTGCAATGCCTCCTTCTATTGGTGGTACAGCCCCGCCGTCTGCATTGGGTCCTCGTCCAGGGCCTCCGGGTCCTTTTGCTTCTTCGCCATTGACAACAGGTTTAGCTGTGCCGCCACCATCAAGCATTTCTAGTTCGGTTAGTAATGGGCCACCTGCAGGTGGGCCGGGAATGATGCAGGGTGGAGGACGTTTTCCTCCTCCAAGCAATACAATGAGGCCACCATTTGGAGCTTCTCCACCAGCTATGGTTTCA